TGGTAACTACCACACGTTTATGATACACCCCGTATATTGGAAAGTAATTTTAAAATGTGGACCTTTTAAACATGAAAAACTTTCGTAGGACGTATATTCTTGTAAAGTTCATATTTACTGAGATATCGCAGTTTGACGCACTAATGAGCAACCCTGTATAATTAATCGCAAGCATAAAGTCTCTTATTTTATTTTATGTTGATTGTTTTCAATATTAATGTAAGACATGGCACAATTATATACCAAAGTGATAATGAGCACAGTGAATATAGCGGTAGTGACTCTCCTTCAACTAGACTTAACTTAATATGTACAATATTGTTATAAAAATTAAAATTTAGGAGCACAATTTATTATCCAACCTCAAGTATAGCTTTGACATGGGAGTCAGCCAATTCGCGAGTTCAAAAGTCTAGACGCCCCCTGGTGGCTAAAATGATAACTACAAGTTAAGTAGTAATTTGACACTTGCTTTGTTGACTTTGGTGTTTACATCTGATTGTAATTTGTTTTGTTTGTTCTAATCAAGTTTTGTAAGCTTTTAAGAAATAGAAACAGATCTAAAAGTGTGTAAGTATTGTTTTATGTTATAAATGTCATCAACTCCAATAAATAAACAAGTCTGGCAAGTCTCAACTGTCACTCTACAACGAGTAATTTGACGTTTCTGAACAGACTGACAGAACACTTCTGAACCTCTTACCTGCATGTGTGCTTTCTGATTCAATTATGAAAGAAGGGCATTTTTTTTAAATACAAAATTTGCCTCAGTTTAAAGACGTTTCGCAATGTTTTATTTGTAATGTAAGGATTTTCCGATACAACCGTTTCTTTCTGGCCACTGTTAAGAGATGATCAATGCGCATATTATTTACAATCAGAAGAAAAAGCAATACGTATTCAGGTTAATTAATTCGATGAAGGCCAATTTAATATTTCGTTCCTCTATTTTTTCCGCTCCCAAAAAGTGAAGTATAAAAGAACGGGAAAATATTTTGACCAACATTTTAAATACAACTTAAGAAAGAAGGAAAAAGATTAAGTAAAAAATGTTTTATTAAAAAATCACAGTTTGTACGATTTTGGCAATAATTTATGTTACGTGTTATGTACATTTTGTTTAACCTTAACTCTAAAACCTGCGACGAGGACTTCGGAATGATCTATTTCCTTCCTTTTCGTCATCCACACATTCTAGTGCTGCGATGTTGAAGTATATATTGCCCATGAAATTAGCGATCGGAATATCAGTTTGACTTTTTAAACATTTGTAAAGATGTTCGTCACATTCACAATGTGATTTTGTGTAGATAGAATTGTTGGACAAGTTGTACTTCTGGGAGCGCGCCCTTACTTTAACTGGGCACAAATCGTGGGTTCTACAGCACACATCCACAGTCGGTTCGGATCCTAAGTCGTAATAATTTTGAGCTATGTCACCTGTTCCACACCATTTTGTCCCTAGGAGTAATAATAATATGAGAAATGTAACCAGTAAGGTATGGTAATTAACCAAGAAGAACTAACCGGGTATAATTCCTTTGAATAAACTGAAAGGATCATTAGCCAAAATTCCTCTTGCTTGCTCAAATGGGCTAGCTGTTGAATTGCGAGTATCTCTTTTGATGTTCCCTGTATATTCCTCTAGTTCTTTACATTGGTCCATCAGCGTGAGCATTTCCAGGAAGGTAATTCCAACGGGACGCGCTTTCTTTGCAAAACTACCAAGAACTTCAGAATATTGCTCCGGTTTACTAAAAAAAATAACATTTGTTAAATAAACGTTTTAAGTGTAAAATGGAGAAGTTGATGACGATTGAACGATTGAGAACGTTGCTCTATGATAAAATGCTGAACTAGATATATTTTAAGTTGTGTACTTTCTACAGGCGTCGTTATTTGCTTATGGGGGAAGAAACAAGATAGTTAACCGATCAAAAGTCGTTTTATCTAATATATTTTAAGGTTTCGTATAGACCTGGGTAAAACTGGAAATTTTTTGGAGTTGGCGCAGTGCTTCGCAAATGGTTTTGTGCGCCAACTCAACGCACCGGCGCGTAACTCTGTTCCGTTGCTGGCAAGTTGTTTTTCGATTTATTTTAAGGGCCATTTATTAACAATATTTTAAGTCAAAATTTGAGAATTTTTCAGTTTTAGCGAAGTTGCTGTTTCCTCGAATTTTATCAATTTTTTCAATTTAAAATTCAAAAAATTCAAAAAAATTAATTTTTCTAAAATGTTTAAAATAAATTTTATTACAACACTTGCCTCCTTCGTCGTTTCGTAAAAAGTGTTGAAATAATACAACTACTTTTTTTTAAACAAACAGAATGACATACAGAATATAACAGAAAGTTTATAATAAATTATTTGGAAAACTCATCACCCCCATCCGTCTGAAGACTTTAGAGTTGGTTTAAAAACTGTGGCTTTTTAGTTTTGGGTTGAATTTTTTTTCTTGCTTTACTTTACACTTGAAAACGCTCTATTTTGTAAAGTTTCACTCAAAAATACTGACAATCTGGAGGTATGTTACGCCAAAAATTTATAGCTGAAGCGAAAACCTTTTCAGCGTCGAATTCGGGGCAACAACGAAAATAAGTTTTCCCATTTTTTCCGGAAAATTATTAAAGTTTTCTGAAAAACCGATCACAAAACTAAAAGTTTTTAATCGAAAGCGCAAAATATAATAAGTCATTATTTTCTGATCTTTTTGATCATGATGTTTTTCTTCTTTTCCGACAACCATGGGGTCTTTTCAGCCAAAAAGGACACACCTAATTTTGTTAGAAAATTGGCCTCGAGCATCGCTTTTCAGGAAACTTTAGAAAACCCTTTTGAGCTTCGAATTTGGCGCAAAAACCAAATATTTTTTTTTACTTTTTCCGAAAGCAATTACGATTATCTTGAAAAAAACGATTAGAAAGCAAAAGTTTACAAAAAATAGTTTGGAAAATTCTCTACCCTCATCGCTCTGAAAGCTTAATTAAATTTTCAGGTCTTTCCAGGTTTAGCAAAGTTTTTCTTAAGCAATTCTTTCTAGGCAGAGAAATTTCTTAGAAAATTGGCCTGAAGCATCGCTTTCCAGGAGATTTTAGAAAACCCTTTTGATCTGCGAATTTAGCACAAAAACCAAATAATTGTATTTACTTGTTTCCCAAAGTAATTACGATTATCTCGAAACAACGACCAGAGAGCAAAAGATTACAAAAAACTGTTTGAGAAATTCGCTACCCTTATCACTCTGAAGAATTTTAAAGTTTATTTAAAATTCCAGGTCTTTCCAGTTTCAGCAAAGTTTTTCTTCAGCAATTCTTTCCAAGCAAGAAACGCATTGTTTTCTAAAGTTTTACTTAAAACACTGACAATATTCCGGTATTTTCTGTAAAAAATGGTCAAATAAATTCTATTGGAACACTCTCCTCCTTAACCGCTTTGTGAAGACTTTTTTAAAAACTTTTGCAGTTTCGAATTTTGGACAAAACCCTAATAATTTTTTCTGGGTTTGTTCCCCAAAATATTTACAGAACAGAACAAGCGAAATTTTATAATCAATTATTTGGAAAATTCGACAACTTTGTCGCTGTGAATAATTTAATTATTTTTAATTTCAGTTTCTTCACTTTTCGGACAAAACAAAACTCTTACTGTGGAAAACGGAGGGTCTTTGAATCGAAAAAATTAATACATCGATTTTACAAGAAAACTGGGCGTATTTATAGTTTGGTCTTCTTTTCCTTCACTTGGTATCTTTTTCGAATACCCGTTTTACTTTTGGGATAAAATCCTTTCGCAAAAATTAGTTTTCCAAAAAAACGATCACAAATAAATTGTGAGCAGAGTCTACGTTCGCTTCCGGATAAGTTTTGGCCACCATACAGCTGTTTCTATATCTTTGTTAACCATTATGTAGTTGATTTGGTTTCGTATTATTGTACCATATTTTCCATCTTTTGGGGCTTTCCAGGTATATAATCTGCGCGGAGGCATCTCGAAAAATGTGTTTATTATAACGAAATGCAAGTACAGAGCTTTTCTCCACGCGCATTTCTTACTCCAAGTCCATGGGGTCCAATACTGTTTCCTGATCTTCTTCTTCCTACTTTTGCATCTGAATTGCAGTGTTCCCTAAATCAACAATATTGCTGCCTAGATAAGCAGCAGCAAAGCAACATCAGAAGCTACTAAAAGCTGCAAATAATGGGAAAGTTGGATGGGTGCAAAGCAATCGTTTTAATATTGCCAAAAGTGCACTTTCACAAAGCTGTACAGATAGAAATAAACAGATTAAAAGTTTCAGTGCAGGAATGGGCCATTCTGCGACTTTTAAGATTGGCAGCCCATGTGAAACATGGAAGTGCGATTTTTTTGTTGGAGGAAGCGGCAGCTTCTGGCAGAACTCTTATGAGTTTAATAAAGCACAAATAACCTGCTTGTTGGGATCACAACAACAAAACACAAGGATATTTTAACATGGATGAGTCTGCAGTATCAGCCATTCAAAAGGTATTCAAGGTTTTGGCCACAAAAGATCGGAAACAGAGATGTGTAGTAACTAGTACGAAGCGATTAGTAGGTAGATACATTTAATCTGCATCAATCGCCCATTGTCATAAATTTTGCTCTAAACATTCTTAAACCATGATTAAAGGTAATGCGCCAACTAAAACATTACATTGGTGGTGTGTTATTATTATTATTATATTCAATATATCAATGTTGAAACAGAAGACTTACACAAACCATGTTGTTAAGTGCCTGAAAATCTCATTCGCTGTGGCTTGGAATGTGCATGGAAAAACACGAGCAAAAGTTTGAGCACAACGGCCATGTAGTTATTTTTATTGTAAAATAACTGCAATTTGTTAAGTAATGAGGTTCTATATACATTTTCAACACATGGAAATTTTAGAAAAAAAATATATTTTAAAATTAGTTGGTAAACCGAAAGAAAATTGTGTGTAAGCAGAACTTTATTTTGGACTCTATCTGCTCTAAAAATAGTTTCGGGTAGGCGTAAATCCTCCTATATGCATATATTTTGAAAGGCGTGTGACTTGTTATTCATGTAGATTATCTATTAATCGTTGTGTCTCAAGAATTGCATACAAAACTTTTAATTACTTTATTCTACTTTCGGAATTGTCGCAACTAAGTTTCATGCTAATGGGGTAATTATATTCAAGGTAATTTTGTTACTTGCATTTACATGGTTTAACTAAAGATGATGCGTTGAAAAATACAGCTAGTCATACTAATTAAAATATCTATCTTATTGCTAGTTGGCATGATTAAAGGCCTTAATTATATAGACCCATATCACGCACGCATATTTATTGCTCTTTGGAACTTTATTTTTTCCAAATTGCTTTAGCAAGTTTAGACTCATCAAGCATACTAATGAAACATTTAAGTATATAATACATTGGAGGTAAGGAATGCATGTAATTTAACTGATTTACCTCAATATAAGGAAATAATGACACCATTGTTGCTAAATTACTATTGTTGAAAACACTAATGATAAGTAAAATGCAGGTTAATTACATTGATATATCTATCTATTGTATTGCATCAGATCGGAATTTCGAGCTTCAATTAATCGAAAAATAATCGTTTGCGTATCGTAAAGCGACATCCATTGTGCAGATATATTATCATGTAACCTAAATTAAAGTGGTATATTTTTAAATATACAGGGAGGTTCACCTTACGCAAAACTATTGGCGTAGAACCGCATTTAGACTGCCAACTATTTCCAACTATACACAGTATTTGGCTTTTGACTAAATAGTTTTAGATAAAGCACGTTTTCTTAGTGAAGCAACAACCTTTTCAAATTAACAATAGACCATCGAATCTCTCAAAACTTTTTCGATTGCGGAACACTTTCCAATTCCAGAAATTTTAACGGAACACTTACTTTATTATAATACTACTAAAAAAAGTCCCCACATTTTTCATGGAGCCCACATCAGGGCGTACGAAATAATGTCAAGCAAATGTTTTCGCGGAACACAATATGGAAACCTCTGCTTTAGAGTTTACATGTTTCAAGAGTATTGAAATTTAAAAAAACTCGACATTTACACGTTTGCATTTAAAAAAAATATGGAAAATGCTCAATTTGTTTATGTGACCCATAAGTATTTACCAAAACGTCCCATCAAAAAACTCTACGGCGAGTTTCGATTAAAATAACAGCAAAATGTGACTTATTTCAATAAGAGCATTAAAAAATAACTTTGATCTCCTCTATTTCTGTATCCATTGACTTCTTCGAATAAGTATGATGTGATAGATCCTATAATTTTTCCCGCAGGAATGCACCATTAATTCTTTTATTATTGCTTATGGTAGACCCTTCCCATATAATGAAGTTTCACACAAATATTTTATTGTTATTGTTGTATTATTTTTCTCAGTATTTTTTACCTGAAGTCTTAGTCCAAGATTCAATATATATTTTTATTCACAGCAACTTTTTAAATTTCATCTATAACTTTTTGTTCATATTCAATAACAGATTTATTAAAAATGTTGTGTAAAATAAACCTGAACGTAATACGTTTGGAGTTTAAAATGTTTGCGTATAGTCATAATGCTCGAAGTAATATTGTTAATAGTATTAACAGTATTAATTATAGTACAGTTGTGGTTAGCCATTGCCCTTAAACAATTTACATGATTTCATAACATTAAGAACACTCGAATTCGATGCTAACTCATTTTTTATGCAGAACTGTTATTAGGA